TGTTGGAAAAGTTGCAAAATAGTGGTTGTACAGAATTTTGATCAATTTTATATTTCAATTGAAACTTATGAAATTCAAAATGCGGAACATTTTTTAATGACTCAGTTTACTCTACAACGTGTACTATTTACTTTTGTATGATAAGTTTTTAAATTTTTTATATTTTTAAAAGCAGTTTTTGAAATGGCAATTTTTTTACCAAAGTCGATTTTCATAGAAACTAGGTTTTAGTGAAAACGCAGAGAGTAGACCTCGTGTTTTTTTTAATATCTCATTCTTTTAGAGAATTTAGTGCTGTACAATAATGTTAAGTTAAAGCTGTTTTCAGACATAGACTAAGGATTACGCCATAATCGCTATTTTGCTTCGTAGAAACATAGTTTTGAACCTTTTCATAAGATCTACTGCTTGTTGTTTAATCTTACCCTAGAGGGAAAATCTGAACATATATTTGAAAATAGTGAAAAATTCTAAGTCTAACTAATTGCTATTAGCTCAAGCTAGTTGTCTTTTAGTGACCAAAAAATTTTATACCAAGACTTTTGCACCATAGGTTAAAAGATGTTCATTATCAAATAGTTAGAATCTTATAAGCAATAACAAATATTAAAACGAATGTATATGTATTGCATAAGCGATCGAACGTTCTGAATCTATGGTAGGGTCAACGATTTTTATAAAATTCCCCCTGCAGGAAAGTTACCAATATGGAGGAGGAGAAGGAGAGAAGCGATTCTTTTTATTTCATTCAAATCACACAAAGTATTTCTTACTTTCAACTCACATTTTGTACTGTATGAAGTTGATACGATTCAGGAAAAAATCGTATCTTGTATCAAACAACATACACATGAAGATGTACATCAACACTTGTCTTTAATTAATTTTTCGATTCTGCTTTATTGAAAAACAGAATAATAATAAATCAGTAGCATTCACAAAAAAAAGGAATTCCAATTTGGGTTTGCCTACTTTATTGAAAATATTTTTTCAGTATGGAAGCTTAACCATTGAAGACGACAAAAATTTTCAGCATCTTGTAATTTATCTAACTCGAGTTTCATGTACAATTCTTCTTCACTTGTTACCAAGGAAGGCTATTTGAAGTCATTGACAATGGAGAATCCAACAATGAATCATACAAAATTCAACATTTTTTCAAGAACGTTTTCTAAGTCAAAAATGCTTCTATTTGCTACTGAAGACAATGAAAAATTTAACTTTTCAACAAAAATTTCGATGCATTGCTTCAATCTATGAAATTGATAGAATGAGAAATAAATGTTTGAGCCTACGATATATCGGTTACTAATTCGTTTAATCGGAAAAAAATAGAATTTCTTTTTGCTTGATTATATAAATACTCAATTTTTATTGCCAACATTACGTATATATATATATTTGAAGTAGAAAACATACTAAAAGTTTCAAAGAAATTAAAATACTTTCCATATACTTCAAAACAAAAAAGAAACAATTAAAAATAATTATGAATTCTAACCGCAAAACTAATACATCAAAGAATTAGACAAACATATATTGTGTGATATATATTATTATTATTATTATTTTGAATAAAATAAATACAATTTTAACAACATGTTGTTTTGTTGTGATAGAGAACGTTAGCAAAACAATTCCTTCATCAATTATCTTTTTTCAAAACAAAAACTATGATGCATGTGCTTTAATAATAGTCGTATTATACATCCATCAAATTATCTACACAAGATTTTCTTTCGTCGTTTAAACCATAAATTTCTCGTTGAATATTCGTATCTACATGATGTCGTCAATATAAGCATCTTTACTTATACAATACAAGTCCTTAATCCAATTAATGCTGTTATCATTCATCGACCATCCTACATATGCGTTACAAAAGAAAAAAAAAACAAGAAATAATATGGATATATTGCATTTCCATATAAGTACAACAATAAATCATATCATCGTTAGTAAGTACCATCATTGCTTTTTATAGAATGAATAAAAAGTACAAGAAATGAAATTGCGAAATATAGAAATTGATTATTATCTTTCGGTTTTTTTGACCTCAGATCTTTTCTTTCAATCGAAATAATAAATATGAAACAAAATCTTATTTTACTGCGCAATTCTTTGTATACTAACATTTCATTTCGATTTTATATATAGATCATAAGATGGCAGTTGAATTTTTATAAACGAACAGTTTTTCCATCTAGGAAAAACTAAATGTGAAGAATAAAAACGAGAAACATCTGAAAAATATGAAGAACATTGAGAGCCAAATGTCAATAAATTAACTTGATCACATTATTGTAAGATTATATATTAATATTTAAGAATTATGTAGTAGGCGATGTTTATAGTCGTTAGAAGAAAAAAACAACAAAACTTTTCTCTTAAATCTGATCTATTCGACTTTTTTCATCATTTGAAATTCTTTTGACGATTATTTTCATTTACTTTTACTTCTAATCAATAAATCTTGTTTATCATTTTAGATTGTGAAAACACTGGATAAATTCTTAAATGTACATTTTTTCAAAATCTGTCATCAATTAAATATGAAGAACAAGATGACTAGTAAAGTATGATGATAATCTATCTATGAAATTTTATTTAATTATTTTGTTTTTATAGTCAAGAATATTGTGAACCGTTTTTACTATTAAATGGAAATTGTATAAGGTGAAGAGAAGTGTATGCATTTGATATCCATACTTTTCGTGTTTTCCGCTGTAACAAAATCTGTATTTTGTATCACAGTGATCTAGAGAACGGCGAGTTGTTAAAAACTCGTTCGAACTTTGTCAGAAAGCTCGATGTATCGAGATTATACAAACGTTTTTGTATCTTCAAGATGAGTTTTCGTTCATCTTCAGTAAGTTCTGAAAAACGGTGATTTGACCTTCATCTTTTACCCGACATAATTAAAGGTGATGAGCTGATCTTCACTCAGCTGTTATGAGCAGAAGTGATAGTGACGATCTACGACAGGACAAGATCGGTTCTAGGTAAAATCGTTTATTGTTCTTATGTTAATTAGAATTCCATCGCAGAAATTTGAAATCACTTCGTACCACACTTATGTAGTCCTTTACAAATTTTTTTTTCTTACTAGACGAATATATCCAAAGTTATAATTTTCAGTTGTAATAGGCTCGAAAAAAAAACCGATCAGAGAATACTAGTTGAAATGTAAGGATGAGATTTCATGATCGAATCTGTATCATTCGTTTTCGAATCTTCAACAAGATGTTCTATTGTCTTAGAGAAAGGGTATCCAAAAAAGAAAATTTTTGTAGAGTTATTTTTTTTTTCTTTCAAACTTCAATATAATTAAAACGATGACAAGTTGATTTTATTCATCAAAGCTGTGTGGACATCTGATAATACTATATAAATAATTCAACGATAAACTCACAACGTTCTCTAAAAACATGTTAATAGAATTCCCATGATACTGAATTTTGTCATGTCCGCTTTATCATTCTTTTTATACTTCGATCACTTGATTGATCGAAACGTAGATAATTCGAGTTTTCAATAAGAGAGTGACACGAAAGGAATTCGTTGCTGTGAACTGTAAATATCTTGGGTAATAAACTATTGCGTAATTAATCATAGAAACGATTATTTAAATGATCAATGTTCGTAGCTTCACACCGTATTTCTCAATAGAGTGAAACTTAAATGATATCTAGTTGTCTAAAATTAAGCAAATTGAAAGTTTTTGTTACCTTCAATGACAGACATTATCAATGGTGTAATTACAGATGTCAATCGTATTCGAAAAATCTTTGACAAATATTGTTATGTTTTATTATATTCAAAAAATTGATCTAGATATGAAACGAGAAGTATTGAATATTAATCTTTTGTTATTTGTGATAGTTTTTAGTAGAACTGAACGATAAATTTAACCAAGAAATGTTTGGTTTTTCATTTAAGGTAATCATATAATTAACAAAAAAAAGAAAAACGTTGTTATCGACAAATTGCTATTCGATTGATAATCGAATATTGAACGGCTATCGAAGAGAGTTAGATTCATCCTTAGCTTGATCTTAAGTTATCAAAAGACAAAAGACTACTTTCGAAGCAATTGCGCCGTGTTTTCGATTATTTATAAATTTTTTATTTGTTACATAAGAAACTCATGAAGATACCAGAACTGCAAACAGGACATTTTTTTCTGTTGTGACATGTAAGTCAAACCAGATTGATTGATGTTTCTGATTTTTCGAATGTATTTAATTCTATAACTTTGCATTAATGTATCATTCTAGTTTCAATTGTTCATTTAAGGGTGCTTCTCCATCTTTTCCGACCACTTCTGATTCTCAAAGAGAGTTTACGAGAAAAACCTAGTTTTCCATAGGACTGTATCCTGATATGTTACAATCTCCATGAAATTTTATTCGATTAGACTGAAAATATTTCTCAAGATGCCTCGGACTATATTTCAGAGGTATTTTTGAGCGTTTTAGAAAATCTGTTTTTTTTTTCTATGGAAGAAATACGTCAAAGTTCGGAACCAAAACCGGAGTGTTGATTTTCAAAACTCTATAAATCTGGGTAGAAAAGTCAAAAACCAAAAATGGTTGATTTTATCTCTGAAGGATACTTTCAAGTATCTGTGGTAAAAATTTCAGCTCGATCGAACAAAGTTAGACGAAGATAGTAAGCAGCCAGAGTTAAGAAAACTGGTATTTTGCGTTACGCTAAGTAAAAGAAAAGAATTTCAACATGATTACTATGAAAATAAAACTTCTTAAATTTAGTAAATTTGTAGCAGTAAACTGTTTAGAGCTGAATGATGTCTCTAATTGTACATGGCATTTGAGATTATTTCATCTTATGTCTAATTCGAAATCAAATTTTTGGTCAAATTAAAAACTAAGAGACAATCATCATAAAATTTTTTTTATAGAAAACAGAGTTGAATTAGTATCATATTTTCGATCATATCAATTCTGTTTCGCATAATCTAAAAAACAAAAAAAGTAATCATGATAGCAGCAGCAACATATGTTATGCATACAACAAAGAAGTAAAATCAAATGTCGGATATAAATGACACTTATAATGACAGACAAGGACATTTATATTTGACAAACTATTTTTGCAATAGCACTGATGCAAAATTGACTATGCAGTTATTTTGGATCTAAACAAATTCTTCTGTCAGTCAATATTAGTCCTTCAATACTAAATTGACGTTCAATTCAAGTAGTTATTGTTGGAATCCAATGCATTTACTAAAGTATTCTTGAATAACCAAGGTAATGAATCAGATCAGGCCGGCAGCTCTGAAAGATATTGATTGTATATGAGGATTCAATGTTGTATGTTTTCAATTTTATATTTTGTTTAAACTTTTAAATTTTACTGATACTGTAAATTTATTAAATTATACATTTATATATATTTGATTAATGAAAACTAATTAAGAAAAATTTTTATTCATTCAGTTATTATGTTATTGTAAATTTTAATATCAAATTTTCTTATTTAATTATTAAGAAAATATAATCAAGAAACTGACGTATAGGCTATTTTAATAAATAGACTTTTTTTGTTACATCATTGAAATATTTTATATACAAAAAATATTATTCAAGCATTGATATCAAATGAGTAAAAAAATTAAAAAGTAATTTGTCTCTAGAAGAAATATAAACCATGAAAAGAATTATATTTGTTTATCGTTGTACATTATTATCGATGAAGAACATAAAACAGATTATAAATAATCCTTGTAAATCAAACGGACTTAATTGATGACTAGCTGCTAATGTAAAATATTTCAAAAACTCGCTACGATTATACTTCCAACAAGTTGTACATTTTTATCTTAATTTTATTAATATTTATCAATCACTTGCTGACATGATTTAAATTATGAAACTACAACAATACCCATATAGATAAATAGAAGCCAAGCAATTTATACCTGTTCGAGAAATTCTAAAGTTTCATGTAAAGATAGAAATTTCTATCTTAATAAAAGTTATTATTCAAGTTATTAGAATAGAATAGATGAAAATCATCAGTAATTAAAATAAAAGTTGGAAAAAATCTCAAATTTCATATCAATATGAAATCTAATCCTCACGTTAATGTAATCGAACAGATGTTACTAACGCCTAGAGCAGTTGACTTTTCTTTATTGCAGCAGATGAACAACTATCTGTGTATGGACATAAGAAAACAAAAAAAAATCTATAATCAAGAATATTTCAAAGGTGATGATATACGACAAGGAACAATCATTCGTACAATATTAGTACAAGAAAGAAGAGAATAATCCACAAAAACGAAGGACAAGAAACGATGAGATTATTTGATATTTGATATATATATGAAAATAGGGAATGATTCACATAGAGCAAAATCAAAATACAATAGGCTAGTTTTCTTTTTCAGAATTACTTGTGCAAACATGTTGTTCGTATTAGAGTACTTCATGGGTACAAATTTTCCGATTCGTACTCAATCCCAATAGAAATTATTTATCCGTAGGAGCGGATAACCTACTCGTGGACTACATAACTCTAACACATCGAGAATCAATTTAATAGAATGATCAATTAACTGTGTTATCAAGGATATTGGTATTAAATAGCAACATTAAAAATACATATTTCTAAATTTTTTATGAGTTGTACTATTAAAAATGAAGTTTATGTCTCCATAAATTGTCACCTTTCACATCCGTGCCCAGATATGAACACTAGGTTCCCGAATTGCAGTACTCTAGTTCATATGATTATTTGTTTAAAATCTTACAATTTACTTTTGTTTACTACATTATACTTTATACTGATAAAAATTATTTTTCTGCTGATAAAATTTGTATTTTTTACTGATATACAGAGTATCTCAAAAGTCTGCCGTGACATACAACTATAATAACCTCGAGCAATACACATGAGTCTTTTCTATCGTTTGATAAAATATCCTCGAAAGATTCATTTCATATGATTTCACTCATAATTGCTATTTCAAATGATCAGTATTAAGTCTAACACATAAGATCATATGTTTCGAAACATGTGCAGAGAAACAGTGCATAGAGCCTGTTCTGTGGTTATTACACTCTCACTACAGATGCTTATTTACATATCAACAAGAAACTTTATATGAATTCCAGTGCAAAATTACTTGTTGATATATATGTATATAAGAATCTATGATGAGATCATAATGACCTCAGAATAAGTTCTAGGCACTGATTTCTATAAACGTTTCGAAATACATGCTTTCATGTCTTAGAGTTGATGTTGTTCATTTGAAATAACAGGTATGGATGAAATTATATGAAATAAAATTTCTGAGAATGTTTTATCAAATGATAAAAATCTCATGTGAATTTTTATGTCATGGTGGATTTTTGGAACAATGTACTATTTTTTAACTGTTAATGATAAATAGTAAATTGACCATTTTATAATTGATTATCAATTATTTCATCTATTTTTGCCGACCACATATTATATTTCTCTTTATAAATATCAATGAAAACCAAGGAATATAAATAATTCTAATAAAAGAAGAAAAACAAAAAGTTTCTTTGAATTGCTAGATTTGATTAAATTTCTCGAATTTTTTTATTTTCAATATAATATCAACAGTAAAAATGAAGACATGCATTTCTGTAAATGTCAAATTGAATAATGATGTTCACCAGATTTGCTCGAATTCGTAAAATTTTCTTGATTTCCATCATGAACTTGATTTTAGGTAGTGAAAGACGCTTTTCATGTTTACTGAGTAGATTATAGTGGAAATCAAGAAATTTGAAAAAAATCTAATAACTCAATAGAATTCAATTCTTTTTCTTCTTTCACTAGAACTACTTGACCTCGGGGATGTCCTTAAAAGTAAGGATGGAAGCGCCCTCTACTGATATAATAAATTGTAATCCTATAGAATTGCTAGGTTTCATGTGAATTCTTTCTCTCAGGTAATCCTAATTCGTGTTGACTATATGAAAATGTCAATTTTTAGAGATCGTGAATCTATATCATAAAAAATAGTTATTCATATTGATTATGAAAATTTTTTTTTTAAATTGTTTAATTTTTATTATAGATCATAGATACTAGAAAGAGATTATTTCTAATCATTATATTATACCTCAAGATAGTTGTTCATCGCATAATCATATGTATTATTTAGGCAGTTGATCATCATCATCATCATCATCATCATCATCATTTGGTTCACCATTGGGCTTGACAAATATAAACAATAGTAATGATGATACATCATCAATATATAATAAAAACGACGGTTAGGTTCCAATAATAATCACAACGATTCTATATCAACAAGTAATATCGATGCTACTTTACCATAATATGATGAGAAACGTGGTGCAGCTGGAAATAACTTTCAATATCATCATCAAGATTGCTCAATATTTAATCGTCTTTTATTACATAAATGAAATGCGATATATATATATATATATACATACATACATACATATACTCATATTTTTAAGATGATGAACCATATGTCAATAATAAAAACATGATGTTTTGTTGGATTAGACTGGTTTATAGTTAATTGATGGTTATTAATAATGAACATATACATTTATTGTAATTTCTAAGACAATTTTCTTAGAATATGTTTTAGAAAAACAAAAACTTATTTTCTATTAATAATATAAGCTCTTGATATTTACATAAAAATAGAACTGTCAGGAAACCTGGCGTTGTTTTTTTCTAGTTTACCACAATGTCTACGTGATCAACATACTTTTGCATTCTAAGATGATTTATGAGTATATAATACCCTGAAGAAAAAAAAAAAAAAGAAGAACATAGTTTGATATAATCAATCAGATTGATTTTTTGTCTTTTGATCTTAAACTAATGAATACTTTCAATTCCTCTTTTTTTTTTTTTTCTTGCTTCTAGTAAATATAATGATAATGAAAGAAAAATCTCTGTTACTGTTTATCATAACGATCGACAGCTGTATTTACATGGCATATGTCTTGAATGTCTATCTATGCGTTCATTACTTATTCTTAGTCATATATGTAAGACTAAATTCAATTTTTATCCAATTATTATGGTATGTACATTAATCTTTTCTTTTTGTTCAGTTTATGTTTATATTTTTCTTTTCTATTATTATTGTTATTATTATAGATTGACTGAGTTCAAAAAGTCTAAAGTAAGATTATTACTTTTTAAATGATTTGCAATCAAATAGATTTATTTCAATATAGGAAAAAGAAAGAATTTCTTTTTTTGTCAAAATACTCAATCAAATGACTTGTATGTTGATATTAGGATGCATTTTTACATTACAAATAGGTCAATATCAGTAAAGAAAAAATTTTCTCATCAATAATTTATCATATAGGTCATTGGCTAACAACTGTTGATGATGGGCATAATGCCTGATTGATATCTACGCGCGTACGTTTCATCACTTAGACTAAAGAAATAATATAAAGAATGGCGCGGTAGTTCATCTTCATATGTATTCGCTTCTAATTGACTTGAAAATGAGTGTTGATGAGAAAAGGAAAAGCAAATGAATGGTATACATAGACAGTCAACTATACGACCGCACCTCCTTCTTTTTCCCTTATACTTCCTAAAGCATATAACGTCTGCTTATCATCATTTTCTCTTCGTTTTTCTTTTCCTGGTTCCGATGGATGTATATCGAACGACAAAGCATCAGACCACAAGAAATATTGTATTGTATATATTGATGGAAAGAACGCCCACGATTCTGCTTGTTGAATTATCTTCAAGAGGTGTAAGCCAGTCAGAGCGCAATGCGTATTATTCTTTCCTTTATATGTACGAGAGAAAAGATGCGAGAGAGAAAAAAAAAATGGATAATACGAAGAAAAAAAGAGAGAGAAAGAGGGAGAAAAATGTACATATATATAGAAGCCATCTGCATTCCTAATTCTGGTTCGCCGAGCGCAAAAGGCAACAAGATAGATTTGTGTGGCATCATCCTTTGTTTGTGTGCTAAAAAGATTCTATTCTGGTAAGTAACTAAAACGAGCAATTTTTGTTCTATGCATATTTGGCAAGAAAAATCCGGTACTAATAAATAAGAACCATTGTATACTGACTAAAGCAAAAAGAAAAACCTATATATGATACACTTGTCTCAGTTCTGCTTCACACATATATATTTAGATATATATATTTATAGAAAACTTGGATAAATCTTTTTTTAACAGTTAGCCTTTAAGGCAAGGATGTTCTTTCGATGAGAATGTCAAGGTTTTTATAATACATAATTTTGACATTCATTAATCTAAATAAGCTAATTAATGGTTTCTTTTTTTTTTAAAAAAAAAAAGAATAAAAATAAATTTTTGGCTATGTGCCAAGAATAATTCAAGTTTTAAATTTGGGTTGGAAAACGGTCGTTTAACATAGAAACTCGTATTCGAGTATGTTACACAGCAACGGTACACCACCAATAAATAAGAATACGAACAACAACGGTGGCAGATCAACAAAAAAAATCATGGGTCGTAAAAAGATTAATATAACTCGTATTATTGACGAGCGTACTCGTCAAGTAACATTTACGAAAAGAAAATTCGGTTTAATGAAAAAAGCCTATGAACTATCAGTTTTATGTGGTTGTGAAATAGCATTAATGATATTTAACAGCAATGATCGCTTATTTCAATATGCATCATCTGATATGGATAAAGTCTTATTGAAATATGCTGATTATAATGAACCCCATGAATCATGTACAAATGCCGATATAATCGACGTAAGTTTAAAATAAATATAATTTATTAATATAGAAAAAAAAAACTTTTTTTTTTTGTTTTTTGTATTAAAGATTTTAAATAAAAAAATAAAACCAACACAAATGGCAACATCAACTAGTAATGAAGATAATGAAATCATGGAACAACATGATGATAATAGTGGCGAACAAACTGATAGTGGCATTAGTAGTACATTTACGAATGATATTGAACAAATGTTTGCTGAAACAGTTAATAATGTAAATATTATTTTTTATTTTTGTTTTAATTTTATTTTCAAAAAAGAAATAATTTATCTTTTTTTATTTAGTTTCTTATTAATAGCAATCTTAATTGTTCATCATCAAATGGACATGATATGACATTCCTTAATAATGCCAATACAACAGTTCTACCGGATTTTCAATATTTAACATCTCCATCAGGTGAACAACAACAACAACAACAACAACAACAATTAACACCGCAAGTACCACCACCACCAACAACAACAAATCACATTCCCATTTATCCTATTCCGAAATCTGTTGATTGTAATCAATTTAACAATAACATTACCAATAATAATCATTCGAATACAAATCATGTAAAACAAAAAAAAAAGAATATGAGTTTTTTTCATTTCATTTAAAATTATTTTTAGATTAAGCAACAACCATCAATGAACAGTTTTACAACTCAACAACCAACAACAAATATTGGCCGTATTATGACAGGTTAAATTCAATTTGAATAAAATAAAAAAAAGATTCTACTCTTGTCATATTTTCTAGTTGGTCCGGATATGAGTGTTTCAGCTATTGATATAAGTGCATTGGCATCACAATTAACATCAAACTTTTTAGCATCATTAACTAACGCTGCCGTCGTGACAAATAATAATAATTCAACAACAAGTTTACCTATTAAGTAAGAATATAATCAGTGGTAGAGCCAGAATCTTAGGCTAGGGGAACGGCTGAGCCCCTCTGGCTCTTCCACTGAATATAATATGTCTTGTCTTTAATCATTTGATCTTGTTTTATTTTTAATTTAGTATAATAAGTCGTGATTGTCAAACAACAAATGTTGGTTCAGCCCAAACAATAATGTTAACCAACAGTCCAAATTCAATTATTCTTACTGGACAACAACAACAACAACAACAACAAGGAATAAATCGTAATTTAATTAAACAAGAACCAATACTATATACAACAACAACAGCTGCAAATACTGGACGAAACGAGTTGTGCTATGAGCCAACGAGTGCTAAACAAACTCGTTTATGGCAATAATACATTTCCATCAAAATTGATTCCGTATAGACAAAAGACAATTTCCAAAGAAAAAAAAAAAAGAAGTTTTTTTTTTCTTTTTGAAACAGAGTTCCTTTGTTCTTTCCTAATTCCGTAAACCGTTCCTTGTTTTGTTCTTATAAATATGACCTTAATTATACCTTGAATAATTTCATTTTCTTTTGTTTTTTTTTTGCTTTTTATCTATTCCGACATATTATCTATTTTCATTTTTGTTCATTTCATCTTTGTGTTTGATGCATATAAGTTATATATATTTTAGAAAAAATTCAATTTTAGCTTTTTTGTTTTATTTAAAAGGCAGAAATGAAAATAGTTATACAAAATAGACATGATTAGATATGAAAGATATATATATATAACAAAACTAAATCTGAATTTTAATCATCAATTATATCTATATCAATATTATCATCATATTCAAGTTCATTTAATTTAATTGTTGTTGCGTTAATTATAGAAAAATTAAAAGATGTTTCATCTGTTTGATTATTATTATTATCATTAAGAAGTGCAATTGAACTATTTTTTTCAGTTACCATTGAATTAATATCGTTCCTAAAAAAGAAAAAAAAATTAACATATATATATATTTTTTTTTTTTTTATCTTAAAATACTGTCAACAGTATAAACTAAAATTAGTAATTTTTTAATTATTCCACTAACTAAATATAATCAGTAATAATTGATAAACAAAATATAACGTCATTTAATTGTACTACATATCTTATATATATACTTTACGACCTTAAATTATTTTACTAAGGTGTACAATGACAAAATAAAATATTTTTCTTATAAGTTGAATCCTTTTGTAAAGGTAAATATCGAATACGGTAAAAGTTTTCCATGTAACTATGTTCAGGAATATGATAAAACGTTGATCGTTTTGCTTTTCAAAAGATGCATCATTCAATTTTCTACTTGAGCAACAAAACCACATCTTTATAGTTATTTTCACTAATACTAAACACATGTGTCATTGTGTTATTTCTAGTACTCGTCGAGGTAATTCCGAACCCCACGGACTCTAATTGTGTGAGGAATGTGCAAGGTGTCCTAGTCACTGAATACAAAAATCTATCTCGTATCTTTGGGGCAACTTCCAATTCAGGTTAGAAAATTTTATTGAGAATATGAAATTTTCGATTCGACTGGATATAGGTACGAAAATTTTGAACTCAACGAGTTCTAGTTATTTCCTACAAGGAACAATCAGAAAAGTCGATTTTTTGATTGACAACTAAGGTCATTTTTAATTAAATCAATGTTAGATAAAATGAACAGTTCTAGGTATTGTAAAAAAAAAAAAGGAAGAAGAACAAAACGTTCATCACTCCATTAATCCTTTTTACGAGGTTAGCAGTGATATTCTCTTTAATGTATTTTCATCATCTTCAGTTGAAGACAAGTTCTCATTATATTACTTAAGCTTAATTCTTTTTTAATAGTTCTTTCAACAATCGAGCAAGTTTAATCTAGCGATTTGTGCATTGAAGTTATCCATACCAGATCCTCTGATTGATTCCAAAAATTATTGCTAAAATAAATGAACAAAGTTCTGTTTTTTTTTGTTATTTTTCCTTGTAAGGAATAATACGATGACACTCGTGTTCTGTATTAACAAAAATAGCTATAAAGATTTGGTCTTGTCATTCAAGTAGTTTAGCCACATCTGATATAGCTTATTTATGGAATATTTAAGAAGATTAAGAATTTGAATAAGAGAATAATAGTAGATTGTATGAAATGACTGTAATATTGAAAAATCAACAAGTTTGAATTTATGATTTATATGAATAGTTAGTAAAAGACTTTTTAATCTACAAAAATTTTTCTTTTTGTTTTCTAGAAACTCAAGGTCGGATATGTTTTCTATGATATTCTCTGTTCGATGTCAATAATAAATATGAAATAATAATTATCTGTTCTTTTGATTTATTGATACAGAAAAAAAGTTGAGAAATTCTGTTGAAAGAAACAAAATAACAAATCTTAGGAGTTTATAGATCGTGAGATTTGATATTTATTTTAAACTTCAAAAATAATTTCTTCTCAGAAAATTTTTTCATTTTTCAGTTTATTATTTGTTTAGTCTAACGAAATAAAAATAATAAGTATATATTTTATGTTCTTTGAATAAAAAAAAATAGAATATAAACAAACTCGATATTTAAAACTACATAGAACTAAAGTAAAATTTATGTTGCTTATGAATATTTTGATATTAAGTATACTGACAAAAATAAAACTCATTTACTATTTATAAATAGTTTATTATTGAATATCGTAAATGTATATGATGTCAGAGCAATCATATTGAGTAGAAACTAATTCTGTTCTATTTCTTTTGAGAAGTAAGACAAGAAGTTCTTTTATCCCAAGAGTGCTAACTCGATGAAAACATACCATTTTTTTGTATGTCGGTCAATAAAACCAATATCAAGAATTGAACGATTTGTTGCATCTAAAATAAAAATTTTTTTTTTCATATATTTTCCTTATATTAGAAAGTTATGGTCTAGAAATAGGAATTCACCTATTTATTTTTCGTAGATGTTAAGAATGTAGTCTAGAAACGAGAATTCATTATTGTCTATCTGTAATACTGTTAAAATGACAATCTAATGACGTTAATTCAAAGACTATGTAATAACTCTAATTCAACTGACCGTGTAGGATGATTTAATAAAAGTATTTCGTTAACAGGATAGAAACGAATCAAGTACTATGACTTTAAAATATTATCAAATTATTTAATATTGTTGGATTGATTGTTCAATGTTATATAAATGAGTATGTGATCTAATCTATTGATTGCAAGAAAATAGGATCTAGGCACAAGAATTTATCCATATCTATCTATCTATGTTTAACATGATGGTAAATGATTATGCCTGGCGGCATGATCGATATATCAATGTTGTATAAATCAGAGATTCACGAGGCAATTTCGCACTCTTTGACATTCATAGTTTAGGACTCACTGGAAGAACATTGGCGAAACACGTTCCAAAAGCAAAACACGAAGAACGCGTGAGCAATGGCGTCGGACATATACTTGTCATATGATCAATTTTGTTTACTACTTTCTTTAATATATCTCTTTAACTGTAGAAGACTATGCTCGTATATCAATTCTATTAGATTATGGTTGAGTAAATCTGTAGATGATGAACATTATTCTCTTACTTGTCGTTGAAGATCTTGAAGTTTTTAATAGAAACGCTTGATAAGGTAAAACAGTAGAAAAATATTCTTGTTCTGAACAACCATAATCTATAAAACATAATATATATTTTTAATTCTAATTAACAAAAATGAAGAAAAGAAATTGACATAGTTTATTTGTTGACAATAATGTTCGATTTTTTTTTATCTATAAAAATAAATATTATTTTCTTAATTAAATAAATAAAAATCATATACTCTTGTTTTAACATCATTATCTTGTGGTTTACGTAAAGGTTTAAAACCTCGATTAATTGGAACGGAATTACATAAACGCACTGCTCGACAAGCTATACTTGATGATATTGTTGAAAGTTGTAAACGTGACTAAAATCTAAAATTTTATTGATATGAATTTTTTATTTTTAGTTTTTTTACCTCCCATTCATTAAGAATATGTTCAGTTAAACTAAGATAATCACATAATTGAGCTGCATCATCAATTGTCGAATAAAAATCAATATAATTTTCAAATAAAAAACCAATAAATGTCGGTGCTGATATATGACATTGTTCAATAAGATTCTAAAATAATCAATTATCAATAAAAAACAAAAAATAAAAGATTCACATTCGTCTACTTCAGGTTGAGTTTTTGTATTTTCATCTATTGAATTTTCTTCTGAATCTATAATCAATATTTTGATTAATTTCAAACAAAAAAAGAAATCAAAAACCTTTTTTATATAAAATTCGACCAAGTCCTTGAAATAATGATAAACATGTATCTTTTGAATTAAATTTTCCTATTGAAAATTTAACTTTACTATTACCTAAAACAAAAATGAAAAATTCATATAATAACTTTTTTTTTATTAATTCCTTCCGAACAGATTACATATATGTACGTGATAGTTTTGAAACAACTCGCAACACTAACTTATGATACTGTTTGAAAACGCCGGTCATGAGCAAGCATCCTGAAAGCATTTACTTTTTTTTCGTAGCAGAAAAAATTCAGTTTGTATAGGAACAACTGTGTAGTCACGAATTGATAAATAGGAGTCCACCGTGGTGAAAAACAATGACAAAGAGTCATGTAGAAAAGCCACTTTTGTGATCTTTAATATATATTGGATTTCTATATTCGCATCACATAACTGTTGGTTTCGTAATATCTCCTAATCAATTTTCCTACATCTATAGTCCTTTGTAGTCTATACAAAATATTTCATTTTCTTCACAAGTAACTCCTGTCCTGAAAGGGTTAAATTCTATTTAAAATATATTTACTAGAAAATTGTAATGTATTAATTGCTAAACGAAGATCACCATTTGCTGTTTGAATAATATCATTAATACAATCACGTGATGGTGGGTTTAATTTCTATTAAAATCCAAAAAAAAAAAAAAAAAAAACAAAACGAGATTGATAATTTATTTTATATACAAATTTACTAATAAAGATGCTTGCTGAATAATTAATTGAAGAGCTTTTTTCATATAAGTTGGTGCAATTGGATTAAAACTATATGCAAAATAAAAAGAAATTCTCGTTTTTTTTTTCTCTTCTTTTAATCTAAATCTAACCTGATCTGTTCAATTTTAAATTCATCAACAACTGATAATGAAAATAATACATTAGGATTATTAAATGTTGATAATGAACTATTATCAGTTATTATAAATACAATTGGATGATATGCTATACGTTTTAATTCTCTATATAAAACAAAAAAAAAAAAAGAAAAAAAGAAATTGTTTATTTAGTTTGTTATTTTTTTTTTTGTTTCTAATTTTATCATGCAATTCACCTTAAAATAGAATGAAATGATGTTACATCTGAATAGAAACCATTTGGTAAATCCTAAAATAAACATCATATAAGCAGAAAAAAATACTAAATTCTTAAGTTATATTTATTCTTTTGTCTTATCTTTAAACAACAACACATAACTACTTGGCAAACTATATCTTCGTTTTTTTTTTTGTGTATCTAGAAGTTTTTTGTTTTTTTATCTTATCAGTTTTCTATTTTACAGCTAAACAAGTTACAGTTTCATATCATTTTTATTTTTTCTTTTAAGCAAACTAACAATGCATCGATTAAAGGGAGTTGTTTTTCTTTTGCTATTATTTATCGCTAAATATCAAGCACAAGATCCAACACCACCTACTGATTGGAATGGTGACCCAAATTTATGTACAATTAATCCACCACCTACACCTTCATCATTACCTGCACCACCAATGCCTAGATTTCCAAATAAAGCTGAATTTGCTCTAGAACGTGTCGAAATTAAGCATATTATAAATATAACATTACCTAGTGAAATGACTATGCTTGAATATCTTTATGATTACGATGCTAATAAATTAATTATAGTTAAAAATAAAAATGGCTTTATTGATGCTGAATATTTTTACTATGGTCCTAATAAGAAATCAACTTATTATCAAGGACAATATTGTGTTGTAACGGATATTCCAACAGAAAATGATATGGGTATATTTATATTAAATTTTTAACGATTCTTTTTTTATAGTAGTTTTTTTTTTTTATATTAGATGGTGCATCGGCAATAAGATTACCAAATGGTGCATGGCATATTCGTCCACTGAATGAATTTCTTTTATTTTCAAGTGATGATCAAAGTCGACGAGTTACACCAGTATATCTTGGTACAGATACAGTACGTGGAATTCCAGTTCATAAATGGCAAAGTTGTTATGTCAATAAAACAGATTATCGAACAGTACGACGTATATGGACATTTGCTCAAGATGGAGTTGCTATGCCAGGTGTAACTGATGCTAAATTTGCTATTCCTATTCAAGCAATGATTAGTGGTTCATATGTCTTTCCAAATGGCACACAAATAGCTGAAGTTGATGAAATATATAATGTTCTTGCATTTCGACCAGGTATTATGGAAACAGCTGATGCATTATCACCACCAAAAGGTGTTTTTTGTGCTAGTGGTCCAGGTCAAACTTTAATATCACTTAAAGATGCTGGTGTCATTTGGCCAAATCATTTTAGTGTTCGTGTTGAAACTTCAACATCACGTGCACCACGATGGGAACGATTTCATTTACGTTATGATCAAGGTCGTGAAAGTGGTTCAAGACGTTTACGTTATGATTTCATGCCACCTGGTGCAGAAGATTTTCAATCCGTTATTCATGATTATACAAATAATTTAACTTATATTATGGATCTTCGTGTTGGTTCATGTAAAATTAATAGTGGTGTAGACATTCCTGATGTTAGTCCTATTAGTGATCCAATACGATTTTTTGTTAAACATGAAGCTCGCATAATATTTAATCCACCTGAAAATGCTTGGGAATTTAATGGATTTCGACGTAAGAAAAAGAAAAACAGAACGGTTTTTTTTTTCAAAATATTCTTTTCTTCGTCATTTTTAGTTTGTCGTGGCAATACTATTAGATGTACAATATTAACAACATCAGTAGATCGATTTCCTGCTATGGTTGAGCCAGATACTGGTATGACAACAGGTGAAACATGGGCAGCAACCAATGTTGAATATGGCTGGTCAATGCGTTCACCAATGGCTTTGGCACCACCTGATCGACCAAAACAATTTGATTATCCAGTAAGTTTATATTTAAGAATGTATCGATTTCGAGATCCATCCAATCCATCACCATTAAGTATTATTACTGAAGATGTTGAATATGAATTTTATGAAATGTCTCATGATAGAGATCAATTTGATTTTGATATAAGTTTATGTTATCGTGCACTTAATTATGAATATTTACATCTTGTTTTTACATGTACAATTAAAGAAGGTCTTATTGATGGTAATAAAATAAGTAGACGTCAATTAAACATGCGAACACATATGAATTTAGCACGTATAATGCAAATTAAATTTTCACGTATATCTGATGTAGAAATTGATCATGAAACTGCCGATAATAGTGTACAAGTTTTTTTTACTGTTCTTGGTCGAACACTAAAACCAGGCACACAATCAGGTTTTGATGATAGTGAACCAACAGCTGCAACAGCAACTGATACGTTAAGACAAGCTATTGATAGTGGAAATTTTCAATTTGATTTAATATTACAAGATAATTCTACTGCACCAGTACGAGCAGAATCTGGTTCATTAAAATCTTCAACACAATATATGTCAACTCATAAAGTTGGAAAAGTAGTTTATACTGAAAAATATACAAGTGGTTCACAAGCAACAGCTATTCTTGTTGGTTTACTTATTGGTATTGTTCTAGGTGTTATTATAATAGCAATTGTTCGAGTTGTACGAAAAGAACCAATGCCTGCTTTACCAGTATCAATATCAAATATGGGTTTTAAATCAAAAACTGCAAGCACTGCTTGATCAAATGCTTAATAAGAATATTTATTTTAAGAACAAATATATTTTTTTCTATTTCTAATTTCTTCCTTTCTTGTCTATTCTTTTTTTTTATAAGCTATAATCAATATGTAGTTTGAATTTATTTTTTTTTGCTTTTTGTTTTATTCAATTAATAAATGTATTAACTTACTTCAATTAATACTAATTGTTTAGTTGATGATGATGATGATGATTGTGATTTAATTGATTGTTCATTATCATTTTCAAATATTAAACCATTACTAGAATTACTTGTTGATGATGATAAATAACGAGTTGATTGAAATACAAAAGTACGAAATGAACGTTTTTGAGATTCAATCCATTGACGATCATCTGAATTTCAATTGAAAAAAAAGACGTTTAGAGATACAAAAAAACAAAGATTTCTAATTCTAATATATGAACTGAAAAGAAGATTTAATTATATTTATTCAAGGCATTCTAATAAAAAAAATATTTTGAGTTATTTAATCATGTAAATAACTGAAAAGTTTATTAATTATTATACTATTTTTGAGAGAATAAATTTGTTGAAATTGAAAAGAATTCATTTATATCTTACGAAAACAAAACAGGAAAGCACTCGAGCAAAGTTACGAATAGATCTATGATAATTCACAATTCTATGAACCGATTCTTTTTCGAGAACTGTACCAAATGACTAGTTCTTTTCATATGAGCTATGTCTATTGACAATGGTAATGCAGTAATTCTATTGAGTAACTGTTCTAGTCGTCAAAGAAACTGGACAGTTCAACTCTTTTGAAAAGAACTGGTTCGGTCCGACCAGTTTGTTGGATCATTATTAATTGGTTAATGAGAATGAATTCATAAAACATTCATTATAAAGAGTCATTTACACCTCAACTGATTGCTAAATTTCAAAGCTTGAATTTTCTTACTCAGAAGAAAATCTCATCAGCTGTCCCCTTCCGATTTCAATGATTTTTTTTTTGCTTATAGATACTACATAGTGTTCTAATAGAAATCCTAAAAATATTTAGGCTCCTATTCGTATTTGATTAAGCTAAAAAAATTTTAATATGTCTATTTTCTAGCAGCACCAAATTTTCAGAAGCCTCGTATATTCGAATTTTGATCTGAAACTTTGCACATATAGAGAACTCAACTAGAGACTAGGTTTCATAAAAACAATTCATAAGCTTTGAACAAAGTCTCTTCAAGATATGAAGCTTTCAAAAAATGCATGTTGTATAGACTTTCTATGGATGCAGATCTATATCTTAAAAGTTTCATATCTCAAAGAAACTTTGTTTAAAACTTTTGAATTTTTTATGGACGTTCGTCTAATTGAGTTCTCTCGAAACCTAGTGTCTCTAGAAAATGGACATGATAAAAATTCGATAGCTTACTCAAATATCAATAGGAACTTAAATCCTTTTAGAATCCTATGTAGTATTTATAGACAAAAAAAAATCGTTGAATCGGAAGTGGCCAGTTCCCTCGTCAGTTTTTTCAGACAAACTTGACTTTTCTTTTCGAACGCCGATCCAAATCTAAATATGATCTTTACCAAAACATTTCTGATATAAGTTTAGCTCAAGTAATAAAACAATGTAGACGAATAGAAGAAAATAAAACTAATAGCTCTTGAAATAAGACTGTTTGATTATTTTGATACAATCAAGCAAACTTGTTCCCAACAAATTTTATCTAAGAAAAATGGTATAATGTATAAAATATTTTCCGAATGGTGAAGATCGGTTCGGCAGATGTGTAGAATCTGCCACCAAAATGAAAAAATATTTCCTCGAGAGAAAAAAACAATAATGGATGCTCCATAATAAATGTACCAATTGTATTTTCTATCTTTGAAGTATTTAAAAATTAATTTAAATTTTAGTTTTTATACTAGTAAATAGAAAATTTAATTCTCTACAAAACTGTCTACATTATTTTTTTCAAATCGACTTTTCACTTCAAAGCAAAGTTAGCGAGATCAACAATCTAATCCTTCATACAAATGTTAAAATGAAAAAAAAAGCAAGAAAATTATAGAGAATTCTTAGAAACGAATCTGCTGAAACTTAAGAAAAACTTTCGAAATAGAAAACGTTGAAATATCGAACAAAAAGCTGGTTCCGAACAAATCTGAACTACGATTTTCGATTGATTCAAAGTAGCCTACATGTTTCAACTGTTAAAATGAACACATTTTCCATTTTGTTCAGAATTTAATTATGTATCTGATGATACAAGAATCAGCATTTTGTAAGGCAGATCTGATTTGAAATTTGTGTACAATGAATTAAACTTTATAATTATGATGTGATATTATAGAAGAACTAACCTCGTTGTTCATCTAAAACAGTACTTGTTAAAGCTGTTGTTGTTCGAGTTTCCCATTCAACAATATTAATATTCAATGAAGCAGCTAGTATTCGTAGACATGTTGATTTTCCAGAACCAGATGGACCAGAAATAAGTATTAATTTAGATGGTCGCTGGATAATAAAAAGAAAAACGAATCTTTTTCTTTTATTCAATAGAAAATAATAATCAATGATCATTTACTTTATTTGTTTTAACAATTTCACATGATCTTTGAAGTATATCTTCAAGTTCTTTAATTTTTCTTGGATGAAGAATAAGATCATGACGTTTTTTAGGTTGAAATAACATTGTCCAAAGTTCATCATTTTGTTGATTAAATTTTTTTGACATTATTGAACGTGCTATTGTTGATGATGTTGATGAAGATTGTTGTGATGATAATTTTGATATAAAAGTTTTTGGAATTTTTATTTCTGTATTTATTATTAATGTTGGTGATGGTGGAACATCATTAAATTGTTCAAATATATTACGATAAGATGAAGAATCAATAGAAATTTCAGATGTTTTAAAACGTTTTATTGGCTGTTCAGATCGGATATTAAGATCCGAAAATGAAGGTATACGACGAGACATTTGCCTAGTCGATATTATACAAAAGAATAAAGAAGAAAATCTAAAGATAATCAAATTGAAAAAAAAAACACATATTCATTGTTTGCTGAAATAAATCTTCACAATATAGTTGTGTAATTCTTTTTATAATCTATTCAAAAATTTTATCTATTTCAAAGAAATATAATACAAAATTTTTCGAAGTTATAAAATTAAATATAAAAAAAGATTTAAAATTAAAGAAAATTATTTTCATTTTTCATATATTTTGGAAAAAACGTCTTCACTATTTCTTAGCGCTATATTCCATTTATTTATGTACATTGTATGTAGCACCATCATTTAGATCTAAAAATATTCGTTGGTTAAATTTAAATCACAACTATGTATCGATCAAAAAAAGTAAGAGAAGTTAGGTTTTTTTTTTTTCTTTTGTTTACATTAGAATTTAAAATCATATCGCATTGATTGCATGTATATTCTTAAACCAAAGATTGATAATGATGAGTAGTGATGAAAAAATCTCTAAGGAATAATAAAGTGCATTTGTAGACATACACAAGAGAGAAGAAGAAGAAGAAGAAAAAAACTTGATCAAATTTATTCTTCTCTTTCGATGATCTGCATATTGAGAGAAAAAAAAAAAAAAGAGAACTCGCCGTTGTTGGAGCATCTTCGAAGAAGAGCACTTGATTAGTTAGTTAGTTTCTAATATTGATGTTGTTGTTTTCTATGTTCTAATCAAATAATGTTTTTTTTTCTTATAACTGATTATTACTATTCTCGGGAAAGACGCCTAGATTTTTCAATCAACCTTCAGCCAATCTCGCATCATTGCTTTCGTCTTTTTATGCAAATTTACTTGAGATCAGCAGAGAAAAAAAAAGTCGATTTATAATATATATATATATATATATATATATACATATATATTTATATTATATTTAGTTTTCTTTTTCTCTCTCTGTGTTTCTATTACTCGTATGCTAATTTGAACTCTTGAGCTTGACGAATATACAATGAAAGATACTGACTTCTTAATAATCGTAAATTGTTGTTATGTATAGAGAGAAAAAAAAGAGCGAAAGAGAAAAGATTGTTTGCTCCGATTTCCCTTTTTTTTTTATAGTTAGGGAAAGAGAGAAAAGAACAGTCGATGATTATTAGCCGTTTTCATCTACTATTTCCTGAGCGGAATAAAAAGAAAAAAAAACATTGATCTGTGTAACAAATAACAGATCATGATCAGAGATATGCATATAAAAACTAATCATGGATTAGAAAAATCATTGAATAATTATCGTTTAAAATATAATCATCATTTAAACTATTGGAAAGATATTCGAAAGACAAATTATTGGATTACATTTGAAAATCCTTTATTTGAAAATTATGGTAAAGTCTAATTGTCTTATTAAATAAAAACAAAAAAAAATTCATTTAGCTTTGTTTCTTTTGTTTTTTTTTTTTTTTTGATTTTATTAATCAATTATATTTTCTTTTCATTTGTTTTTTTAGTTAGTATGACAAATGGATATCATTTTAATTCGTAAGAAATAATTATTCTTTTTTTTTTTCTTCTTCGTTAAATATTAATTTTTTTTCTTATTTATAGAAATCCTGTTCTTTCGGAAAATATTTCATCACCAACTGAATCAACAGATAGCGGAATACAAATATCTATAGAACGAACAATAACAGTTCGTATTTATTTCTTTTATTTTATATAAATCAAAGTTTTATTTTAGATGGATGATGATATAAACCTTCCATTAGGTTGGGAACGTTTTGAAGGTAAGAATTTATAATTCTATCAAGTTTTAATATAATAAAAAAAAAAAAACTTTTTTTTTGTTTTTAGATGAACAAGGTGTTTATTATTGGCATAAATTTACTGGTACTGTAACACGTGATCGACCACAATCAATGATAAATTCTCCATCATTAACACTTTCATCATCATCGAATGATACATGTTTTGAAATTAATTCCTTCTTAAATAAAAGTGAATCAGATAATTCTATTCGAGTAAATTTATTTTGTTTACAAAATACATCTTCAACATTTCTTTCTCCTCAATGAATATTTTTTTTTTTTTTTTTGTTAGACATTAAATGATAATTCTGAACAACATCGTTTTTATGTACGTTCACTTGGTTGGACAATAATCAATGAAGAAGATTTAACAAAGGAAAAAATTAGTCATTCTGTAAATCGTTGTATTTATGAATTAACACGTGGAATTAATGATTCAATTAGTCGTTGGGGTGATGGTAAAGATCTTTATATGGATATTAATAATACAAATATACTTTTAATTGATCCTATTGAAATGACTATATTACATAAACAATCAATAACATCACTTCGAGTTTGGGGAGTTGGAAGAGAAAATTCAAGGTTTGAAAAAAATAAAAATTTCTTTCTTTTTTTAAATTTTGATTTTTTAGAGATTTTGCTTATGTTGCAAAAGATAAAAATCTTACAACAAATATTTATAAATGTCATGTATTTCGTTGTGATAATACATCGGCAAGAATAATTGCAAATACATTACGTGATGTATGTAAAAATCTAATGATTGAACGTGGCTTATTAAATCATACAACAGAAATTTCAAATGATGGAATATTAAACCAAAAACGGTAAATTTCAAAAAACAAAAGAAATTTTATTATGTAAAATTTTTTGAAATTATCTTATATAGACCAACATCATTTCCTGATTCAATTGAGAATGATATTACAAATAGTAAAGATTTGAACATTGAGTTTTTTTTTTTTTTTTATTAAAATTAAATTTTTTTTGTTTCAATTTTAGCACAATTTCCAACACCAATGGAAGAACAAAAGAATAATTTACCATGTAAATATTTAGGTTGTACATATGTTGAACAGCCTGGTGGAATGAATATTTTACGACCAGCAATCGAAAAAATAGCAACGACAGTACCAGATGATCAATGGATTTCAGTTGTAGTTAAAATTTCACCAACATCAATTATTGTTTGTTCAGATGGTGATGTATGTCGAATTTTTCAAAGAAAAAAACTTTTTTCATTATTCTGTTTTTTCTTATAGGATTCAAAAGAACAGTTACTCGATTGTCGTATTCGTTATCTTTCATTTCTTGGTGTTGGACACGATATTCGGTAAACTAATTTTAATCTTTATTTAATAAATATAATTTTTTTTTCATTTATAGTTTTTGTGGAATAATTATTCATTGTGCAGATAATTCATTTAAATGTCATGTATTTTATTGTCAACCATCATGCATTCAACTATGTAAAAATATAGAAGCTGCTTGTAAAGTAAATCAAAAAAATATTTTTCTTTTTTTTTGGATTATATTTTCTTTTCTATTTATGTTATTTTAAATAGTTACGTTATCAAAAATGTCTTGATGCTCATCCACAATCAGTTCAATCAGTTGAACAAACAAAAGTTTGTTATTTTTTTTTTTTTGAGAATAAGTTTTTCTTTAATTTATTTTGCTTGATTTTAGAATTATACTTCACAAATAAAACGTTTGGTTGAATCATTCTGGTTTGGGAATAAACAATCGATTTGATTTTAATGTCAATATAAATAGTTTTCTTTCTCAATAATAACAGATCTTTGTTTTATTGCTGTATGATGTATTTCTGATTGATTATTTTGCAATCGAAAATCAGTAATAAAACAAATGTTGTATTGTCAATTTCAATAAAAAACAAAAAAAACAACGAAATCATCGATTAATTGAATTTACAATTTAATTTTAGTTTAGTAATCACGTTCTATTTCATGAAGTTCGAATTCACAAATATTTAATTGATTACCACAAGAGATTAGTTAAGTTATGTTATTTAAATTATTTTATAATTCTCATAGATTTTGAATATTTTCCTAATATTCGATATATTCGATGAAGAGTATATCAAAATATGAAATAGAATAGACACAAATTTTTATTTATAATTAAAAAAAAAGAGTTCTTGAGATTTTTTCTAATTCCATAGAGAAAATACCTAATTCTATTCTATGGAAGTACAGACATATGAAAAACTATATTTATCTATATAGTATTCACAATGGTATTAACGTATTCATTATTCTAAAGCAATAAAAAACAGCTATCTAATCAACAATATCATTCTATGGAATAATCGATCGTTTTTGAATTTGCATTTAATTGATTAGACGAATATATTTACCTAATGAATTTAAATCAGTACTACTGAAAGGTTTAAATAATTATCATATTTTGAAGATTACTTATTTTAGTATATAGATTAAATATTAGGTTTGTTGTTTTTTTATATTCGAATCTTTAAGATTAGCTAAACTTTGTGTTGATGATGAATTATCAATATTTGCATATTTGTAATTCAAAGGCCATATCTATTGAAAGAATAAATTGATACATGATATTCAACTAACAATTTCACGATGATTTATATATGTTAGCGTTCAATCTGAGATCATGTTCATTCAATCTCGGAGTGAAGGAGAAATTTATGTTAAAAGTTGAATCAGTCTATAGATCAATGTCGAGCTCGGATTCTTATTAATAAACTGAGAGAGATCAATAGTATTTTTATGAGTACAATCTTTCAGTTGATCAATTAAGTTTGAACTTATTAAGTTATGGACGTTTTTGTATACAAAATCGTCCATAACTTCTAGAATTCAAACTTAATTGATCAACTAATAGTTTTATTAATTGAAATGCTATTGAACCTTCTCGATCCATTGATAAGAGTTCGAGTCTGAAATTGGACGTAAACTCTTGAGTGATACATATATGAGAAGTATGTAGATGTGTGATCTATTTCGAATCTTTCAAATCAAAGATATAAAAGAAACAATAGAATAAAAAATATAAAATATGATGAAACATCAAGTAATACAAACAGACATATGTTTTCTCTTCTTATCTGAATCGAATTAAAAGGCAAAAAAAAATCAGATGAGAATACTAAACATACTGATCAAATTTATTTTTATTAATAAAACAATGTTGACTATGTATTTGATTACTCATAAGATTGGCTAGTTGGCAGAAGAATATATCTCCACTATATTATAAAAAATTTTTACATCGATATTTTACAACTATGATCGAGATCTATTTCAAACATATATGTTATTGAATTATTTTTCCATCTATTAACTAAAACAACAGTTTTATATAGTACAAAACTTATAATTATAATCAACGTATTAGTAGTTATTTAAAAAAAAAATTAGTTCAGTACTTTTATTGTTCAAACAGACAGTCGAATAGTATCTTGATCAATAATTAAAAAAATATCCAGTTATTTTCTGTCATTTAAAGACTTGAATTTGAAATGTTTTAATAATGAATATAAATTATTAATCTCTTGACATTTGTAGAATTCATTAGTAGTTTTTAACTAAAAGTTCTTATGTCTTTTTTTATGATAATGATTAAGTTTGTTAACATTGAAGTTTAAAAAATGATTGACGATATTATTGTTTATTTATAAAGAAAAACTTAATTAATTATTACATTTGAATAATAAAACAACATGATATTTGATATTATACATAAATAACATAAATCAATTGACTGAATCCTTGCTAAACTTTTGTTAGCAGAAATTCAAACAGCTTATTGAGTCTATTTATGATATATTTTCTAAATTTTCATTACAAAATTTCGTTTTTCTTAAGCAGGCAATGTAGATATCACGATATTCATTGGAATATCTTCACTGCTCAAAGATGTGAAATTAACTTTTTTTTAATGATTTTGACTGTATAGAATCATACCTAATAATAGATTGTGAGTATATTATTTATTATCTCTTTATTTATTTAGTTTATTTATTCGTCTCACAGATATATACCGCACCGTGTTAAATCAATAAATGTGTTATATAGTCAAGTCATTTCGGTTTACACGACTTCTTTTCCTTCTTACAAAGATAACCTATTTTCATCCATCGATGAGCATCATATTAGTATATGTAAAACGATACACAAACTAAACAGACTCATAGTCTTTCATCGGCAAGCTAGGCATGCGAAAAGTAGATCTGCCTGGATCTCTATTCATTAGAATACTACCGTTCAATATTAAAATGTTTTCAATATAATTTTTAAGCAGTTGAATTTGTCTACTTGATTGTAAACACATATGCTAATCAACAACGATCTTAATTAAATTCAAAACACATACTAATGCTTCTTTATATCCATAAGATTCTATAGCAAAGTAGAGGTTGGGGATGCTGAAGAATAGAAGATCCTCACCCGCATCCGCACACCCATACGCTTTCTAAAGAACGCTGTCAATTGATCATTTAATTATCTATTTGATTCATTATTTATGATCAACTGTCCTCACAGCTGTAATGGATAAAATTAGCTTATCGAATAGACCAAAGACTAACTTTTTATCTTGTCCTCCTTATAAAATTCAACTTTATGTTACCGATTTTCGTCATTTTGATTGTCAAAAGTCTTTAAATAATAAAATTAAACCTTTTAATGCATTCTGTACTATATATCAAGTGACTGAACTAATTGTCATATATTCACAGTTCATGTCCTCACAAAGCTTAGGCTATAGAATGTTTTCATAGAAAATACTTCATTCATTTGCTCATATACTTAACCGATCTATATGTAAAATTAAGTTGCTTCAGTTCTCTATCGAGTGATGTACGAACATATGACAAAAGATTATCCTTTACCTTTCCGTTTACATAAAGATATGATTCATGTCTCATACCATTAATGGACTACCACGACGAATATCACTTAATACTCTTCTCTAATTGTAGCAGTCAATTTTGGATTTCATATCAATCGATAGATTTGAATGAGACCTACTAAACGATGCAAAGAAATCCACGACAAGTAAGTGAGAAGATATGTCTCTTTTTTGAACTATTCAAAACAGCTCTATGTTGGGTAGGCTGTGTATATATTTAACCCTTTGGGGGCGAAGGTCATAAATTTACGGTTTTAAAATTCAGTTAGAGAAAAATGTACTTAATTATACTAAAACAGAATTTTTTTATACGCTTTGTATGTAAACATATGGGTCAGGAGTAACGACTTTATGCACTAGCGCTCAATATTATAGACAATGAGATATAATTCACTGTACTTAGGCATTCATGCTAGGCCATCTAACATTAACACACCATTACTGATTCATTTTGAATTATTCACTTTATCTATCATTCTAGAATATTCTATAGAAGTACTACAAATAGGCACATATATGGTACAGATAATATAAAATGGTCGGAAAAAAATCAAGTTATAAAGAAACGATAATAGTTTGTATTATATATGTTCATACTAATAGAAGATCAAAGCGGGAAACAGATTCACATTATATGTGCAAAGATTTTAATGTAAAACTTTGCATGACTGATTGATATGAAGAGTTTTACAGTTTATTGCATTTTTAGTTTCTTTCTTTCTCGTATATTTTCTTCCTGTATGTTACATAAGTAGTTGTATTAGAAGTTTTATGTATTTGTTTTGTTTTTGTTATTCGATAATAAACTAGGTATATCCTTAAATCTACACTCAATAGAGCATTTATGATCTTTAATAATATCCAAAAATGTAATGAATTTTGACAATGAAATTTTATTTTATTTTCTAAAAAAAACTGTGCCACCAAAGGGTTAATTCTCTACATTACAAGCAGATCATCATTGACTATCATCGACTTGTTGATAAAATTCTACTAAATTTTTATAATCATCTTCTTTATCAATTAATATTATTCGAAAAGGAAATAGATAGAAAAAAAAACGAACAAGCATGGTGCATGTGTAGGTCTTCTCTTCATCAACACCCACACTCTGTTATAGTAGAAGAAACACAGCTTTTATTGATCAAATATTCTGATGAATAGACCATTTATGAACTTTTATCACCTCGATAACAAAGTAAAAATGTATTACTTAACACCCGCCGAATTTTTTTTTTTACTTTGGAAACATCAACACGGTATTTTCAGCTCTATCCTAACTGTAATACATTCAACGAGTATCTATTTTAATGGGCAAGTATTTTACATCCACTTTGCAAACAATTACTCTGCAGAAAAAAATTTTATCGATAGTGGTACAAATATTAACAATTTTGTTTTAGCCAAATTTCAAAAGTATGACTGACATACAGTATTTAAAAAAATGATTTGGACACCCTGTAATACATGTCTTGTAAAGCATATTTCACAAACAAAAGAAAATATTTTTTTTTGTGACTTTGATTATATCGTTCAATAGATCGATGTCTCTATTTTATTTTGCACAAAAACAAAAACTTTCGAGAAGATTTTTATAAAGCTTTGAGGCTTTTTTAACAAACTGTTTGATTTCCTACGCAAAAAAAACTATTTGGACACTTGGGATTTTGGGACATGTTTATTAATTAATTCTCGTACGTTAAATTTTATACTGCGCTGTAGAATTGTATATTTTTGTTCAAAAATTAAATATTATTAAAAAAAAAGAAACAATTTATTTAATTATAATATTTATAGAATAATCATCTCAATAATAATTAATGACACAATATTCTGACAAAAACAGTTGTCTTCTTCACACGTGTAAGACTATATGACCTTTTCTATTTAAATTCTTTTTCGTACTAATAGAGTTTTTAACTTGATTGTTTTCTATGAATAATGCAATTAATTGTATTTTATATACAAGGTTTTGTTATAGAAAAACTTATTATATAGCAGTATGATAGAATTATTTAATTTTAAACAATGATGATGCATAAATGTTTTCAAAATTATGCAATACATATTTCTAAATCAAATGATCGTTTCGTTTTTCAATCTGATAATATCAAACCTTGAATGCAACTATAAACAGAAACTAGTGTATGACTCATGCAATCGATATTATAAACTATTCTGAACAATCAAACGCATAAAACAAAAATCATTTTGTTTGAGAAGTCAAGTGATAAATGTGAAAAAAAAAATTTTTTTGATTCTGTTTGATTTCAGTCTGCTCTGGAAACACTTGTACCGATAAATTTGTTTGATTTTTTTTTTTTATCAACATTGATTCCTATTATTAAGTTTTATTTTCTGAGAAGTATATTTCTATTGTTTGCATATTCCAAAAACAAATGAATTCTAACGTGAACTATGAAGCGTACTTCTTTTGTATATGAAACTTGAGGATGAGAACGTTATTGATAGTTTCATGCTAAAACAGTGCATAAAAAGATCCATTCTTTTCAATGTGACCATTTAACTTAATACTTAATTGACTATTTTTTTCTACACATACCACAGTTCCGTTTAATACAACACATTGTTGATCTGAGCAATCAAAGAAAAACTACAACTTTTTTCATTTTTTTTAGTTGAACAACAAAGAAGAATAAATCAATATAAGTGAACGATGATAAATTTTTGTATAATGTCGCCATGGATAAGCAAAGAACATTGAGTATTTATTATTGATATTATTTCAGTTAGAAATTTTTATAAAATACTTTTTATTTTTTTTGTCTATAAGAATTTATCTATTCAAATCAATAAATAAATAAAATTATAATATCACTGAATGTTTTTTCGGTTTTATTTTCTTTTTGTTTCCATCAATTGTCAATAATGACAATCAAATAAAAACTAGAACAAGCGGTTGACGATAACATTCTTTCGGTAAAACATAACAATAAATGATCTTATATACGATTGTTAACAATAGACAAATTCATCTAATATTAAACATCAGCGTTTTATATCGTTTTAAGATAAGCTGTCTTTCGTTATTGCACATGATCTGGCAGGTTTAACTTTATTCCATCTAAAATATCAACAATTTTACATATATGCTAATAAAAATTTAAAGAAAATAATTTACCATTTTGATTTAACTGTATCAGCTTTCTTCGGTGATGGTGATGATGGATCAGCACGAATAACAGCATGTACAGCTTTATATAGAGCTTCAAACTGAAAAACATTTATAAAAAATTTTTTTTTCTTCCAATAAAAAATAAATAAATTATACCGAGCTTGGTTCAATACCAGCTGTAACAAAACATGAAAATTGTTTGGCATAAAGATCTGAATTTTCTTCTTTAAGTGCTGTTATATAATTGGCAACATGTAGACCAAATATATATTGACGATGAGCATCAGCATCGAATTTTTTTCCTTCTCGACTGTAACCTGGAAAATGTCGAGTACTAAAAAAAATAAGAAGATAATAGTTGTTTGTTTTTTATCAGATAATAAAGTGCATCAGAAATAAATTATCGTCAAATCGAAATCAGAAGAGATGACAGAAAAAAAATTGAATATTCATCATATGCACTTAAAATAAATATAAAAAAAACAAAGGGTAAAATCAGCAAGGGGCAAAAAATGTCCATTTTAGGTAGAACTCTTTCTAATATCGTTCCGATGAACTTATATCTAATCAAATTTTGCATCTTCTATATATGAATGAATATTCTTACAAAATTATATATTTTGATAGCACGCGGAATTATCTACAATTGTATTTTTATTTAGCGAACAAGTGCAGTTCAAAACTTACATATATATATGTATAGTTGTAGAGAATTTCGCGTGCTATCAGAACACATAATTACTTTTGTAAGAATATTAATTTATAGAAATGATATATTAAGTCTAATTATCTTGTTTTTGTTACCTATGAGGAATATCTAATCCACCATCAACAGCATCTTTTAATGCACTAAAAACTTTAGCATCGGTTGTTCTACGTGTTAGAGCAACACCAAGATAACAACGAAATGGATGTTTTTCACCATCAACTGGTTCATTTTCAAATTCATCACCTGTAACATCCGTCGTACCTTTACATATACTATCAAGTTTATGTTTTTATAATATTCGTCGAGCTAAAAGTAAACCGGTACAATAAGCAGCAGCATAATTGTTTAAACCAAGTTTAACATCATAACGTAGTAATTCATGTGCATATGCTGATGATACAATATAGTTGCCTTCAATACGTGCATAAGCAATCTAAATAATAACTACACAGATATATATATATATAAATAGTTTATTCTATTTAAAGTGCATCAGAATTTTGCAAAAAAAAGGTTTTCGACATCCTTTCATATTCAGAAGAGATGACAGAAATTATAAAAATCATCATATGCACTATGAAGCTTTTCTAATACTTACTTGACAAATAATATCTTTATTTGTTATTCCAACAATAAGACGATATTTTGGTGTATTATATTTATTTTTATCTTGATCAGTACATGATGAGCATAATAATCAATTTTACTCCCTAAAAAATTAAACATGAAAAAAAAAGTCAAAGGAGTCTATTGATACCAAAAAACTTACGTCGACGACGCTTTGATTCGACTTAATATCTTTTAAAATATGCTTTACTTTTAATAATTTTAACAAAAGCCTAAGAAAGAAAAGAAGAAGAAATGTTCACTATTGGAAAAATGAATAGGCGACTGCGGACAAATTTAAAAAGCAAAAGAAATAAAAAAACAAACAATCAATCGATCGAAGATTATTATCTAGGTTTAGCGACCTCCGTGCGGACGATATATTCTTAACCAATCAAAATTATTCAAATGATTAATGCATTTCAATAGAAGAAGGTCAGCAGGTCGTGTTGGATTGGCTTAAAGAAATCAGCGTTTTTTGAGAATCGTTAGTATTTTTCGTTTTGAGACTTTTTCCATTGCGAGCATGTCGACGACAATATCAGGTAAATTAATAATGAATTGAATTTTGATTTTGATTTTGCTTTTTTTCTTTAACTTAGATGTCGAACGAACTAATAATTTAGAATGGCGTTTAAAACGTTTGGAAAATTTTATTGGAAAATCGGATAAATTAGATAAAAAACGAGTATGAAGGTTGTTTCATTAAGTTTAACATTGAAGAAAAACTTTTTTAGATCAATGAAACAATTAATGATCTTAATGAACATGTTTTTCGACATGCAAGCAATAATAATAATGCTAAAACATTGTTAAATAAAGGTAAAATATTCCATTAAGAATACAAATTTTTGTCTTTCATGTAAATCTGTTATACTCAAGTTGTAATTAGAATATTGATATGTTGAGTATGCGAAAGAAATTGCGACTTTTTTTTTCTGAAATTCATATATGAATATGTATTTATAGAAAAGATTAAATAAACTGATATGATTGAATGAACTGAATCGTAAATAACAGATTCTAGGACGAGTACGACAAGCGTATTTTAATATTTTCTTATTACGTTTTTTTGACCTTCTTGATTTTTCTACAGTCATTATTCTCTATAAACTCTTGTATTCAATTGTAATATTTTAAAATGCATTACTTCTATTAAATTTCTCTTGTATTAATAAACATGAAGATTTCTCTAAGAACTTTAGCATCATTCTAATGGACAATGAAAATATTTTTCTTCTGCTTCTTATATATCACTCATTCACAAAATGAATGAGATCAGTAGAGTTTTAATGTGTTACTTGTTGCGAACTACAATGATAAGGTGCAGTATTTTATCCAACGAGAATGTAGCGTGTCTCTTAAGTTTGGCTTAGCTCTACCGAAGTTTTACATCGCTCCCCGAAAGAGAAATCTTAATTAATTTGTTCATGAAACTTTATTTTTTTTCTTCAAGTATAAAAATATGTTCTTTCTTATTCAATACTAAAACGAATCAAAAATTTAGATTTCATATCTTTTATCTACATAATATTAATAAAATCTTTATTTTTATATGTAGCTGATGAAATCAATCATTTAACAAGTTCGGAATTTCAACGACATTTATTAGCAGATAGAGCAACAAAATTAGAATTAATACTTGCTGGTAAATGGTTTTTTTTTTAAAATTTACAATAAAAATATTCATAAAAATTATTATTATTTAGATGAAGAACGTATACGTGAAATAACACAAACACTTTCCGAAATCGATACATTAGCACGTGTACTTGACGGAGAACATTTTCAAGGTATAGAAAAAAAACTTCTTTTTTTTTTTTTGATTTATTTGTAAACATATTTTCAATTCAATAGAAATACCAAAATTATCTACAACTTTGAATAAATTATTGGTTACTCATAATGATATTAAAGTTTGAAAGATTAATGTACATATTCTTTTGATTCATAATTTATTTATAGAATTATCATAGTGAATTTACACAAGAATTAAGTAATTTTTTACAAAATTATGCAGCATTTGTAAGAAAGAGTTTCTTTGATTATTTTTTTGAATACTTTTGTCTTTTTTTTTTTTGTCTAGACTCTAATGATGGACGAAAATCTTCAACAATATAAACAAATCTTAAATAAAAATCAGAAAACATTATCAGAAATTCAAGATAATCCAATTGAATAGTGACATAGCTTTTTTTTTCTTATTTCAACAATAAAAAAAAGGATCATATTGATAATTTGGGTGTATAATGTTCTTTTATGGTTTTCGTTTTCGTTTTCTTTTCTTTTCTTTTTTTTTTTTATTTTTCAAGAACTTGTTTCCATTTATTTGTTTCATTTTTTACATCATTCCAAAATGTTTTATTATGATTGGTGATAAGATACATCATTAAAAAGGTTGGCGTTATAAATATTGCTTCAAATAGACGAAATGCCGGAGCAGCTTTTTGAAACTGATAATGTCCAATACCTTGAATAATAAGAGCAGTCAACATTATTAATAAACTATAGAATATAGATAATATTCCTTGAGCAGATAATATTTTAGCTGGACCAAATACCAAAGCAAATAGAATTAAAAATGCTAGACCACTTTTAATATCAATAATAAAAATAATTGTACAATAGATTATATAAAATAATAGAGATAGACGATAATCAATAGAATATGTTATAGAGAGTAAAGAAAATATCAGGAAAGGTAATGTAATAATATGTAGTAAACGATTAATTGGATGACAGTGATAGTAATTAACAAATCCAAATTCACTTTCTAATGAATTTCCCTTAAAAAATGGATAAAGAAGTTGTAAACCAATACGAGTCATACTTATAATTGTAAATGTTTAAATAAGTGACTGAGTACAAAAAATAAAAGAAAAATGTTGATTCATTTAACGTTTGTCTACCGTTGATAAGTTTTTATCAGTGAAAATATTTTATAGAACAATGAAAATACGTTTTTCAAATATTTGTTTTAGATAATGAATAATAATGAAACTAACGCATCATCAACCAACCAATTCGGTTCTGTTTTGAATGCTCTTGTAAGTACCAATCAAAATTAATCAGTCCCTTGTTTTTTTGAATTTCGTGTATGTTTAGCATGGACTTACAACTGACAAATTCAATTTTGGACAATCAAATACTCAAACAACAACAACTTCGGAATCAGTTCCAATGGTAGTCGTACCCATTGATGATGTCGATGTTACAAAAACAATTGCCGATTTTAATACAACGAATACTTCAACAACAGTTAGTTCATAATTATTTAATTGTCATTTAATTATATATATCGATATAGATTCCTATCAATACTGGATCTGAACGATATGATTATTCACCAATACAACCATATTGGTTTTATGCGAAAAAAAGTCAAGGTCATGTTACATGGATACCATTTTCATTAACTGATGTACGACGACTAGATGAAGCTTATGCTCAGAGTAAGAAGAAAATCAAGTATTCTCTTAAATTGTTATAGGAAATAGAAGAATGATACAAATATCATTCATAAAAAACTTTTCTTAATCTAAGCGCTCGAACTCTTTTCAGAATATTCATAGTCCATTAGAGTCTACATGATGCACATCATTTCAAATCGAAAACGATTAATCAGCTGAGAAACTTTCCTCGTCCGTCAAGCCAATAGCTAACGAGGGACCTCTTCAGCTACCTTCTTCTGATTTCAATAATTATTTGCCTATAGATATTACAGTGTTCTAATAAAAAGCTATTGATGTTTGACTAAGCTATCTAATCCTTAATATGTTTATTTTCCAGAAGTCCCTGTTGGACTTCGAGTTTTCAGAAAATCTAACGCCTCTAGAAAATGGCTATATTAAAAATTCGATAGCTTAGCTAAATCTCGATAGGTTTTTATTAGAACACTATTTTAAGCTGTCCAACTATTCATACGATACACATTTAAACCACACAAACTTGAAGGGATTTACATTCAATTGTGTACAAATTAAAAACTAATAATATTAATTAACGAAAAATTCCCTTTTTTTTTTTACTAAATTCCCTGTAGATCAAGTAACAATTGCTACAAATGGTAATTGTTATGATGTTAATCTTGTTGAACGTATTCGTACACCTGCCTATTGGACTGATGAACCAAATGAAATACGACGTTCAAAATGGTTTTATTTACCTGAACGTGATAGTCGATTTATTCCATATGATGAACAAATGAATGAAATACTTGAGGTAAAGAAGAAAAAAAAACATACGTTTATGAAGTTTTGTTTTTTTTTGAATTAATCAAATTTTTCTTTTTTAATAGAATCTTTATAAAGAAACATGTCATCAACAATCTTGGCATACAAAACATGAAATGAAAAATGGAAAAGAAATTCTTATTTTTCATAGTCCTATCTTAATGACAATACAATCTACTGATAGTGAAATAACTCAATGGCCGAATTTTTCTGTATATATAAATTAAAGAAAAAAAAGAAACTAACATATACATTCATATAATTCATTTTAGTATGAAACACGAACATTAAAACGTGGTTTACCTGAAATGTTTTTCGATGAAGTCCGATTTGGTGATAAAGATCCTATTCAACATTTATGTTTTGTTGTACATGGTATTGGTGAAGCATGTGATGTTAAATTTCGATCATTAGTTGAATGTGTTGAAGATTTTCGTGAAACAAGTCGTACAATTTTACAAAGTCATTATAAATCTTATGTAGAAAATGGTGAAATTCATCGTGTAGTACGTATTTATCATCATATTCGAAAATCTAGATAAATTGACGATGAATAATATTCTAAACATCAATTTCTTAGTATATTATTAGTGTCAAGTAGACTATACCGAAGGGCACTTCTTGCTTTTTATTGTTTTGAACTATCGCGAAATTCTGTATTGTTCAATCAACGTTGTCTCTTTCATCTTTAAAATTTTATTTCTATATACTTCGTTCAATTCTTAATTCATGGTTGAAAGTACATTGTCATTAATAAAGTCAATTTCTACGAATTGAGCTGTAATCATGAGAAAAAAGAGGTACGCATGTGCAAAAAGAAAAAAAGCAAAAACTTGAGTATTTCGACGTAAGTGAAGTACGGCATTTGGATTTCAAAGCACTCAAGTCTTGATTTTTTCCTTCTTGAATATATGACAATTTTGATAGTTACACCCAATAGTTTACTAAAACTGGTTAAGTTTTATAAATAAAAGAAACAACAAAATAGACCAATTTCAACAGAATTTCATGATAATTTTAAAAAATTTGATTCAAAGCGATACAAGTGTTAGAAGATATGGACGAAAAGATAATGAGTGAGGGTAATATCTATTTAATATCTTCTATATTATTTTGGTTGTTAATAAATTTTCTAACAAGTAGCATGGGAGAATAAGGGAGTAACTGTTAGAAGAGTAAGTGCCATGAGTTTATCGCTATTCCATTCACTTATATACAGAGTTTGTCTTGTGTAGGAATCAGAGATCATGGTAAATTTCAATTTCTGCATACTATTATTCAATGAATGATACAAGCTAAAGAATAGTGCTGCAACAACGATGCAGATTAAATGTCGATGACGTACACCTAAAATTTATTTTTACACATTCATTTGAAGAGATGCAACTCCTTGTTTCCTGCTGGAAAATTCATTTTACTCTGAAAAGTATGGGGAAATAGAGTGTATATATGTTTACGCTTAGTTTGAGTTGAGTCACGTCATTCATCTTATTACTCGTAACTATTAACATATGCTTCATTAATTAACTTGAATATTAAAATTATGTAAGTGAAAAAGATAAAATTGATATAAGCGTGTAGGTGTGACTCTTTTCTTTACGCACACATAAGTTCCACTTTCACGGCTACATCCCTTCCTAACTCAAGCAATGTCGAGGATATAAAATAAATTTTATATTACAATCAATATTCTACACTTATTTTTCAAAATATTGAATTAGATTTCCGTGAAATTTTCCTCATATTTATTCCAGTTGATTTTTTTGAAAATAAAAACTTACTATCTCATGAGAAATTATTTAATAGATTTTACAATATCCTGATTTTTCCTACAAAATTGTCCCACTTGTTTTTCTAATTTCAACACAAAGGACACTTCGACTTCTATTACTAGTTTTATACATAATTCTACGAGTACATTTATTCGTATAAAAAAAAAATGAGACAAAATTTCGGATCCATTCGTTAGTAAAAATAATACAACAGATAATCTATCTGTATTATTGAGATAATATGAAGCTATGGTGTTTTTTTTTAATTAACAGGAATTTTTACCAGTTCATTGGCATGGTGATCTTCACATGGATGTATGTATTACAAATAATTTTCTAAAAGAAAAATAATTAGATTTTTATTCTTTCTAGGCTTCTGGTATTGATAATCATTTATTAACATTAACATTACCAAGTGTAATAAAATTTCGAACATTTATTAATACAACTTTGTCGGATATATTATTTTATACAAGTCCTGTTTATTGTCAAGTATGAAAATAAGTTTTTTTTTTTTTTTTTTTGTTTACACGATATTGTTTTCTTTTATAGAAAATAATCTCACGTTGTATAAATGAAATGAATCGTTTGTATAATATATTTTTACAACGTAATCCATCATTTAATGGACAAGTATCTGTGATTGGACATAGTCTTGGTAAAATAGAAAAGAAAGAATTGTATTAATTTTTTTTTTTTTAAATATTTTTTTATTCAATTTTAGGATCAGTTATACTTTATGATATTTTAGCTAATCAAACGGCTGTAAATGAAGATGAAGTTTTAAGCAATAATCAAGCAGGTAGATTAAATCTAAATCTAAATAACAAATAATTTCAATTCTTTTCTTTAAAACAAATAAAAATTTAATAGAAAATAGGTAGATAAAATAAAATATAAAGTTTTTTTTTCTTTATAAATAATATCATTATTTTTTTTTTTAAATAAATAATATTAGAACAAATTTATGTGTATCGGGTACGGGTCAAGTATCGATTCAATATGAAAAACTTAAATTTCCGGTTGCATATTTTTTTGCATTAGGTAAATTTTCTTTTCGAAAAAAATTTTTTTTTTTTTTGTCCTTAATTTTGTTCTTGTAAGGTTCACCTATTGCAATATTTTTAACTGCACGAGGTATAACATCATTAGCATCTGATTATACATTTCCAACATGTAAAGGTTTATTAAATATATTTCATCCTGTATGTATTTATAATAAATAAAAAATTTTTATCATTTATAATATTTAATTTTTATTGAATAGTATGATCCAGTAGCATATAGACTTGAACCATTAATTGATCCTAAATGGACTGTATCACCAGTACTATTACCACATCATAAAGGAAGAAAAAGAATTCATCTTGAATTAATTGATGGACTTTCAAAAGCAACAGATTTAAAACAAAAAATGCTTGATTCATTTAAAAATACAATGATATCAATTACTGATTTTGTTACATCTTATACGTGAATATTTAAAACAAAAAAAAAACCGATTATAATTTTTGATTTGTATATTAAATATTCGATTTATAGAAGTCCTATGCAAGTAACTGCAACAACAACACCGTTGACAGACACACAAGCAACAACTGTACCTACATCTACGGAAACGGATCTCGAAATTGAACATGCTAATGATGATGAAGGTAAATAATAATGATAAACATTTTGAAATTTAGGGAAAAAAAACAAATAGGATATTAGAGGATGTATGACTAGAACAGTGTTTTATCCAGCATGGAGACGACCCTCCACCGAAGATCGGCTTACGAGAGAGCCTCTTCAACTGACTCTTTCGATTTCAATGATTTATTTTTACCTATAGATAATAAAAACCCTAAAAGAATTTGGCTTCCTATTAATGTTTGACTAAGTTATCATATTTTTTTTTCTAGAGGCCCTAGATTTTCACCAAACTCATATTTCAGAATTTGGATATGATACGAGTTTTTCGAAAATTTGACGTCTCTAGAAAAAAAAATTCGATAGCTTAGTTGAATCACAATAGGAATCCAAATCGTTTTAAGATTTTTATTAGGACACTATGTACTGTCTATAGACAAAAAACAAAATCATTGAAATCGGAAGAAGTCAGCTGAAGAAGGTTCCCCGTAAGTCTTTTCAAAGTTTTAAATCATTTCTTTTGTTTTTGACTGAATGAACTTTTGTAGTGTTTTTGACAAATCATGCATCTAATGATAGGAGAAAAGTAATTATGATCGGCGAATCAAAAAGATAAAGATGAATGAAATCTTAAATACATGATAAGCATTCTAGTGTAAAATCATATGAATATTTTAATTGTTTGACTTTGTGTCTTGAATTTATGTACATAAGCAAAATATATATATATATATATTCACATTATTTTACTCATTTTCTTTTAATATTCAAAAAATATAATTGAAGATTAGCATGTCTAGTAAATATTATCAGTTGAACATGTATGTGAATGTGTTGATCCTATTTTATTGATGAGTTTACAAATGATTTATTCTATAATAATGTTAAAGAAATGTCAGATTATTGCTCTTATTTTTTTTTTTCGTTTCTTGAAAATGTCACAATATATTCAAAAATCGATAGATTTATGTTGGAATATAATTGTTAGTGCTTTTGCTAGTAATGATTTTTATTAAATCATAAATACTCAATCATAATAAAAATGCTTATGAAATATTCTAGAAACTCATATTTATGAATGGGATAATCGTCCGATTGGAAAATTAAATCAAGGTCGACGTATTGATTACGTTCTTCAACATCGTCCAATTGAAGTTCTTAATGATTATTTATTTGCTTTTGCAAGTCATGTTTCATATTGGTAAGACAAATGAAATAAAGCAAAAAAATTTTATTTATAATATGTATTTATTTTAATTTAATATCTATTAGGGATTCCGAAGATACAATGTTATTAATAATGAAAGAAGTACTTAAATTAGATAATTTTGAACCCGAACCACAATATGAAACTATTGAACAAATGATTAAATCAAATGTATTAAATTATTTTGTAAAAAATCAAACAACAAAAGTGAATGAATTACTTCCATATTTAGCTAAATCTGAACAACGTTCAAGATTAGTAACAGATTCAACCAATGTCCTACCAAGAATGACATAACATGATCTTTCTGATGTTTTTGTTTTTGTTGTACTTAATGTATTTAGTTATTCATGAACGGTTTTTTTTTTTGTTTTGTTCGTTCCTTTTATCTGTGTTTTCATCATATATATAATAAATTAAGATAATTTCGCATTTATTTTATTCTAGATGTGTGATGTTTTTCATAAGAAACAGTAATTATTATTTGTTAAGTGTTGTAATTAAAAAAAATTATATTTATCCATTTATTCGATGTTTGTCATCGAATACAACTAATAAGTAAGAATCGATATTTCAAGAATTCGAAAATTCTCATATTTTATAAAAAAAAAAAAAAAAAAAAAGTCCAAAAAAAAGAATAGAGCATCAAAGTATCACACTTGAACTTTAGCATTTAATCAATATTATTATCGCTAGAGAAATATATAATGTGATTTGAATATTAAAGACGAAGCCACTTTTATTATTTCCTCTTTAACATTAAAAACATATAAGAATGTATTTTTATGAGTAGCTTTTCCTTTGTCAAAACTCATAGGACAGTCCTGTGTAAAGAATAATAAAGGCATTTACACTGGATGACTGATGGTGCAAGTATAATCATTTTTCGATAATGAATAGCATGCAAAAAAAAAAAGATTAATTCAATCTATTGACTCAAGAGAAAAGGCATCGAAAGAAAAAGAGATTATCTTGTTGTTTCTATTGGTTATATTCCTTGAAGAAAGCTTATTCTAGATTAATAACTTAAAATTCTATTCAAATCTTATACTTTAAATTATGAATTTAATTAGATGATCCTATTAAATAAATTTTATTTTAATATCTTTCTTATGTTTACAATTATATGTAACAAAAAAAAAATAAGTTATTTTTATTCTCCAGAAGCTATGATCATTTTTATGATTAATAGAAAAAACAAACCTATTTCATATAAATAATAATCATTGTCTTATGTTTGTTTCTTTGTTCTAGGCTACATGAAGTTGGTCTCTTTACAGCTATTAAACATGAAGGCAATTATGAGACAGGTCAGGTATGTCATTCAATGATGGATAAATGTCAAAATCCTATTAGAGCATGTTGATAAGTATATAATAGATGCATTTGTCATCAGTTACTGTTTTTTTTTTCTTGTCATATTCATTCTGTACAACAAAAAAAAGCTGTATACAAGAAACTCTATGTTCTATATCACAGAATCTAGTCTATACTGTGATACTAATAATAATAATAATAATAATAATAAAAAAGACAAAAATATAACTAAACAAAGAAAAAAAAAATAACGCTATGAATATAAACAACATACACTATGTTTTGATGTTCGATTATTTAATTGTACAAGACTATTTAAGGTTTTCGAGGCACTTTGTCCATATGATGTTGTTGCAGCAGTTTGTTCAAGTAATGCTTGACTTACTGCTTTAAAGCAAAATTCAACATTTAAACCTGTTTTAGCTGATGTTTCAACATATGGTACATCATATTCTTTAGCTAATTTTTCACCCATTTCACGTGTTACAACACGTTCATTTGTTTTATCAACTTTATTGGCTATTAACATAATAATAACATCTGATTGTGCAAATTCTTTAATTTCACCTAACCAATCACGAACATGATTAAAACTTATTATTGATGATACATCATAGAGAAGTAATAGAGCATTTGCATCACGATAATATGAATGGGCTACAGAACGAAAACGTTCTTGACCAGCCTAGAATTTACAGAAAAAAAATTTTTTTTTTAATGCATAGAAATATAAACTTGTTAATATGATTTAAGATTTATAAATAAATCTATTGTTTACGTTCAATATGATTAGGACATATTTTTCTATAGTTAAATAAAAAAAAAATCTCGAACGTTTAAAGTTATTGTACTTTCATAATTTTCTCTTAATTGATGTAAGCGTACTATAGAAAAATTAAAAGTTTAAACAATGTTTTCTTTCGTTTCTAATCATTTCTTAATTTGTTTTTTTTATATTTGACCGAGTATACAAGTATAAATTTTAAGTGTGTAAGAAAAAAAAAAAAGCCAAAGGAAATGAGCTTCCTTTTCCGTCATCAATTTTTTCAGCTTGATTAGTTCTGATGTACTCGTATAAACAAATTATTTCTGCTTTTCTTTTTCTTTTGAATTATATAGTTATTTTTGAAAATTTTACATCGAACCAATTATTTATTCAAAATTTAATATGCTTGATTTGATTTTCTCGGACAAATTCTGAAGTGTTATTTTAATCAAAAAAAGAAAAAGAAAAACTCATCTTAAGTTTCATGATAGAAAAATAAGAAAAGAAAAACTCAAGATTTATTTGATCATGATTAATAAAAATAAGATGATACACAAAATAATTTCTTAGAAAGCTCTCAAAACATTTCCGAGAATGTTTGCCGTATTATTTGTTCTTATCTATTATCAGTTAAAAAAAAAAAAAGAATGAGAATAAAAAAAAATCATATTTTCTCATTTCCGTTCTTTATTTGAATAAAAAGAAAAATAAATATACATAGATCATTGTTAGATTTTTCTTTTTGTTATCTCTTGTCATTTTTTCAACTCATGAATTTAATAAATTATTATCGATTTTTTTTTGTCTTTTGTCTGTATACATACTGTATCATAAATTTGTAATTTCACTTGTTTATTATTGATCACAATAGTTTTGTTACGAAAATCAATACCAACAGTTGCAATAAAACTACCAGATAAAAATGTATCATCTTTAAAACGTACTAATAAACATGTTTTGCCAACACCACTATCGCCCAATAACATTATCTAATTGAAATAAATAATATTAATTTCTATGATATTATATCTTCTAATTTTATTTCTTTAGTTTGTCAATTGATAATAATAAGATTTTATTACATATCTATATATATATATATATATATATATATTTACCTTAAATGTACTTTGTTGAGCATAAGTACATACATTATGTTGACTATTGTTCGTTGTTGCAGTTGGACGGTTCATATCTGAACTTTAATCTGTTTTCTCTTATCAATCTAAAGATATATATAGAAATTTGATCTAGTTATCTACTCGCTAATGAAATGCATTTATATGTGTAACTAATAAGAAAAAGGAAGCAAGCACATGATTTTGTTCTCTCGTGACATGACCATGTTTTTCTTTCGACAACTTTAATTGTATTTTTGTTTTCTTCTTTTCGTTCTGCTTTTTTTACTTTCATTCTACCTGTTAAAAGTAATATTGCATGTATATATATATATATACCCCTTAACTATGAAAACGCACAGACAATCGTTTGTTGAAGTATTTCTTCTCAATAGGTTTTCTTTTTCTGACGTCAAATGTCATGCCATTAAATCTTCTCTATTTCTCTTCCGCATACAAAAAAAAATGAAGAAGAACAAGGAAACAATAAGAATGTCAATGAGCTAGATTCACATTTTACTCAGAAATGACAAATTGCAATAGATCTTTCTTGTTTTTCTTTTCACTTGTCATCACTCCATTCTATGATTATTCTTATAATAACTCAAATGATAGTTGTTTCTCTATATACATTATAGATAGACATGACAAATATAAAACGATATCAAAAATTCAGAATCTCTCTTACTTTACTCATATCTTTTTTATATGTATGCCTTCAGATGAGCAAATACAAGAGAGACATGCTAGGAAATGGACAACAATAGATGAAGCATAAAAACAACATTTTTGTAATGGGCACAAGCAAATGGTTAAAAAAAAAAGACGAAGAAGAAGGCGATAAAGAAGAAAAAAAAGCAAAAGAAATAAGAGGAAATAATCGTTTTTCCAGATCTATTATATTTCTACTCTTCTCAAATAAAACAGCTTATTTTTTTCTTTTGTTGGAACACTGATACCTCCTCCTAGTGTTTAACTATTTATCTCAAATAATGTTAGTTCAATGTTAATTTTCAATCACTAAAAATGATTCAATTGTAAATGTAATACCAAATAATGATTTTTTACGAAATCTAAGACGACATCTTACCTCTTATGCTATAAAATAAACGATAATATATAATGTCAGTTGTCAGTTCTCGTCAATTCTATACACATATATGTGATGCATTCATAGCATAATTGAGCGATTCAAATATATATATATATATATATATTTATATTGTAGAGAGAGAAAAAGAAAACAAAAAAAACAAAAAAAGCGTAGCCCAGTGGAATGTTGAACAGATGAACAACGCACAAAAAAAAGAGATGAAGATGGATGTCGAGTCAAAGTGAACGAAGAGCAAGGAACAGACGGGAGGGATGAGGAATGAAAAACGGAGACTTCCTGTCGACAAGCTTTGCTGATGGTTTTTTCCTTCTTTTTTTTTCTACCGCCACTACTACCGTTGCTATTCTACTATGCTAAATGCATTCTGACAAATCGAATGATTCTCTATCTCTATCTCTATCTCTATCTCTCTTTCTGTTTTCTCTTTGTGTCTTGAGTAGCCCTTCACACATACACACATACATACATACATATATATATATTCGCAGAGCAATTATCTTTTTGAGCCTATTCATTCATTGTTAAAATCCTTTACTAAATGCTTATGTCGACTTCTAAGTTGCTTGCAAGAAGAGTGCAAAGCTAATTCGATTGTTATTTCCTAAAGACGTCCATCGACGATTTCCCATCGGCTCATACTAATAAATAAATAAATAAATATATATTTATATATATATATATTTATATACGAAGGAAAAAGAAAAGAAAGAAAAGAAAAGCCTATTAAAGTATTTTATTGCTAATAATAAATTGAAAAGAAACTATTTCTTTTTTATTATTATCCATAAATATGCTAAGACAGTCAAACAATAACGATGATAAATGAAAAATTTTATCAAACTAAACCATGCATTAAGCGTCTATGATGAAAAGATGAACTCGTGCGTGTTTATTTATTTATGATTATTTTTCGGGTTTTCTTTTCTTTTTATTTCTTTTTTATGCTCTAGTTATTTCTTCATCGAATATTTGGTTATCGAGG